AATCGATGTAGGACAATGCCTCCAATATAAAAATGTAGCTGACCAATTAATTATTCCTGAGATTTGCTGCCCTGTGCAGATATTCTTTAAGCACATTCAAATTATGTGAAAGTATGGACTACGAAACATAAAAATAAATTTAGATTTATTTTACCATTGAGTCACTTAAACACAAATAACAGTAGAATTGATATTGTGACACAGATTATATTCATATGAATGCCTAAGTTTACACTGCTACAACACAAGTATATTAGGTTAAAACAAACAATTTCCTCCCGTAGATACCCCAATTATAACTAAACATGGCAGACAAGAATCTGCATTTGACCGACTGTACCTGTTATTCCATTGCAGCCTGACTAAAGGGCATAGTCCGTCCAAGAATTAATCCAATACAGCTGAAATATAACAACCTAATCCTTAGGTGTTAGGGTATTGTGAGGGGAATATCAAATTATCCAGCAAAAACGTTTGCAACTGGAATATTAATTACACAAAAATCATCAAGAGATTAATACATTATTAGTTACCCTCAGAAGCAGATGGAGTGGGTCAATTGGGATGGATTGCTTTAAAGTGCTACTAAATCCACAGTAGTAAAATCAGTCTGTATATGCAGTAAAGCATGCTTGTTATACTCACTCTAGAACCTAAAAGGTTCTGCATTGTGTAAAAAGGATATTTGGATCCTGCCTCCTCTAATCCTCTCCTTCCACAGCCCCCAATCCATCTGCTGATAGAACAGAGCCTTGGGGGCAAACTGCACATGCTCAGTGTGGTGTTTATTGCTAGAAAGGTTTTTGCCTTTGGGTGGGTGCATGCATGTGATCAGCACAGGGCCAATTAGTGCTGTCCAGAGGGACAGGGGCCATGCAGTCTCATAGGACAATCAAGAGGGAATGAAAACTCATCCTACAAGCTTTAACCAGTGCTCTGCTGGACACTGATAGAAGTCACAAGACTGTTATACACTGCTGATGAGAAAAGGTATTTAGCAATTCATACTTACTAAAATAACTGCATTTCCATGTTATGTGTACTGTGTGAGACCAGATACAGTGAATGCAGGGTCCGGGGGTTTATTTACACTTTTGGATGGCTGCCAAACCCTCAAAATGATATCCAATGGGTGAAGGACCAAGCTCAAGATGGAGGCTGTCTTTCAAATGGAAGAGGTCTCCCATGACGGTGTATGATGTCTTTAAGATCGAAGCTGTGTGTATGATGATGTGTTTTCGAGATTGAAGTTGTGTGTTCAGTGAGGTTTGTGATGGTGGATAATTAGCGTATGGTCATGTGTCCCTGAGCTTGCTTATTTATCTACCAAAACAATTTAATATAGGAACCCTCCCAGAGGGTGTAGTTGGTACTATTTTTACTTATTTCTCACTTGTAGATCATTTTATTGAATAACTATTTGCTTATATAACCAATAACTGACTTGACCACAAGATAGCACCCGGAGTCTTGAAATCCCTATATTCAGGTTCTCTGTGAGAGAATGAATTTATTGGATCCAATCTTTATGGAATACAACTTATAAAGATTGAAATATGCTATTTTATTCAGAGGGTATATAGATATCGTCTTTCAAGGGTTTGGTGACATTATTAGTGGTTACATTTTTGGCATGTTAACTAAAAACATGAAACTTTAGCTACAGGGGTGGAGTTATTTATGAAACCTTTTAGAATATTTTTTGAATTTTGTACTTTCTAGAGTTGAAAGTTTTTTTCTAATTTGAATCCAGAGAGTGATTGGGTTTTTGTGAGATATACCATATTCACCTTTTGTTTTTATATCTATGAAACAAACCATGTCAAAATATTTCCAAAATATTTTGTGTACACTTTAAACTATTGCCATTTCACTACTGAGCCAAAATTAGAAAACATATACAGTATTTCCCATAATACGGATTACAATCCGACAGAAACATGGTAATATTATGACTGAATCCTTTTTAAGGTGATATATTTTGTATAGGTATGTAAATTAAAATCTAACTAAAAAGGCAAAAAACTTGTTTCTTTTTAGTTTTTTGATAGAATGGAGTTGGATTAGAACATCTGTCAGGTCTTTATTGCTGTCTGTGGCCCAGTTAAGGAGATTCAACCTCAGTTTTTCCTGTGTATCATTATCATTGAAAGTAAAAGAAACCACAAATTTTGAGTTGTCCCCAAAAAAGTAATAGAGTGGAAATCTTCCAGTGAGGACACTAGTTCAGATGACTTGGGGATCTCCATAGAATTCCTTTAATTTGTATGGATTTTCTCTCACTTCCTGTGTTAGCGATTGGACAGGAAGCGAAGGTAAATCTCTGCAATGAGACACAGGTGGCAAGACATAAACTGATCGGGGGTTATAACACACTCCCTTACTCTAAGCAAAATGAAAAAAAAAAAAAGTTTTGCCTCTAGTTCTACTTGAACAAGTGTCTAACCTTTTCCATTCTTTCTAAAAATGTCCAAAAATTATCAAGTTTTGTTTTATAAAATATTTAAAGGTTAAAATAATTTCTCCTTTAACTATAAGACAGACATAGAGGTTATAGACAGTTGTCTTTTCTGTTTCTGTTGTTCTGTGAGTGTTGACTCTCCTTCACCTGGGTAAATTATCATTTGTTGGCTTCTGAAGGCATTGTAAGCAGCGGACAGTTTCAGTTTAAATAGATGTTCATCTCTCTAGATCCACGTGTTGTGTGAATACCAGAGCACCCCATTGTTCAGAGATTGGACATGGCCTTGCCACAATTTGCTCTGTATGCAAAACATTGTTTGGATAACAAACTATTTGGTTTCTGTCCCTCTGGGAGTTAAATGTTAATGTGACATTGTATCTTGGCATATTTGAAATCTTTCATTTTCTCACAAACACTGTTCATAGTTCCAAGACATCTGAGTTCTGAGACATCATAACATCATAATTTTTTATTCATAGGGTCTTGGACAATGCTTAACTGAAAGTATGAACTGCAAGCAAAGCAAGAGTGTGCTGCTAATCATCATCCTAGGAGTACTATCCTGAGAGCAGATGAAGAATGTCACACAAGGGGAGAGCACAGACGTTGAATAGAAGTTCTTCAGGGGAAGAACTGGTGCACGCATGTAGGCGGGCATAACCAGTTGGCAGGGCTTTAAAGGCAATAGGTAGCAAAACATCTCTTTTAAGCGTTTTTACTTATGAAGTAATCAGCAGTTACAAGGATGTGTTATTCCATCTCAAAGTTTATCTCGGTACAAGAAGGCATTTGTACACTTCAGGCACAAGGTGGTTCAAGAATGCAGGTCTTACATACAGGAGTTTTCTCAAGGTGTACGTCCATCAGCTTGTACCTGTGAGGCTTCGCAGAGGCATTTTTCCCTGAAATGGTGTAGTCCTAGCTAGTGCAGTGAGCTAAAATTGTTCTGTCCAAGATGCCAGACTGAAGTCATAGATGTTCAAGAGCGTCCCTATACTATCCCTGTCTCAAATACTATGCCTCTGTTATAAGCAGCTCTCTGTCCCTATCTAAACTTTCCAAGCTGTAGGAACACCAAAATGACACAACAGGAGCAAGACGAAGTTCATCCTCAGACTTTGAGAGACAGCAGTGTCCTATCAGACACAGGCTCTCCCAAAATGGCACCCAGAATCCATGGCAGAGGACCCACTAGTCATGCACTAAGGACAGGTGGTGGCATCTAGTGGTGAAAAGTAAAAACTACACCTCAAAATCTCCCTAGAGGAACATTCCGTTACATGCACACTTAGCATGGCAACGCAAAAAATGGAAGATCAGACGAAATAGTGGTAACACAATGAATATGGAAGGAGGGGACATACCAGGCTCATAAAGGAGTTTACCAAATAGGATTACAATATTTCACACAAATGTTGTGTACAAAGCAAATGACCCCTAAACAAAATGTTTGGGTTTACTTTCACCTTTAAATTTTAGTTCAGCACAATTTCATAAAACAAATTTTCAGAGCGCAAAAAACTCACTTGTACATTAAATGGTTCACTTACCTGTTATAAACTCTCATTTGCTTTAGCCCCCGACAGAGGTTCCTCCCCCGAATTACTGGCTACAACAGCAGAGCCAGAATTTGCAGTGACAATGGAGAAACTATCGCTGGAGAAGAATCCTGGTAGAAAGAAAACCTTAATCAGAAACACTGAATGTGCAGGTCACCCTTTCAACACTCAATGCTAGTTCACATATATGCAGATTGGATTCGGTTTAAACCGCATCTAATCCGCATGACAAGTGAAAAAAAAACATTGCTTCCTATGGTGCCTGTTCATATGTCTGGTGCACTGGTGGTGCGGATTCAGTGCAGTTTTAAAAAGAGTTAGGGCCAGTTCACACCACAAAAAAAAAAACGCACTCAACATCCATTCTGGATACGTTTTTTGCTTACAGTTCACACCACACTCCCGGTTCCGATGCAGTTTTGATGCAGTTTGCTATGTTCCAGTACAGTTCTGTGCAGAAAAAAAAAAACGCAGCATGCTCTACTTTTTTTTTCTGCACCGGAAAATGACTGGAACGGACTGCACTGGTGTGAACTAGGGCCATTGGAATACATGGAAAACACTGCATGCATTTTTGATGCAGAAAAAAAAATGCAGTGGACTGCATCTAGTGTGAGCTAGCCCTTAAAGTTCCGGGAGGTGCCAGCATTTAGGAGTTAAAATAATCCCTGGTGATCCTGCCACGAAGGTCCTTGTTCAGGCAGTTTCTTATCAAGGAAAAATATTCTGTCCCGGTCTTCAAATTGTGATCCTGTGTTTTCACCGTCACACGGGCTTACCATGGAGACTTCAAGAGGCCCTTTCAACACACATCAGACGGGCATGGCCCACTATCGTCACCATCAGGAAACCCCCCTCTGGGAAATACCCCACAGCTATCGCTGGAGTGCATGCAGACAGTGACTGCAAAGAGGCTGCAAGGGATCAGCAGCACTGAGATGTACGAATAATGAAAACAAGAATTTTATTTAACCACTGTAGTGCAGGAGAGGGTTGCCATTTATAAACGGCACCCACATTTACAGCCCGTGCGCACTCCCTGCGAGTGCGCGGCACCCGCGATCCGGTGCCCGTGGTCTCCTCTGAACACAGCGGAACACCGATCACTGTACAGAACCTCTGTGTGAGGTCCCGATCATGTGATCACTGACTGGCCAATCAGTGATGACATAAATAGTAGTAAGCAAGATGTCACTTCCTGACGACATTGCTTACTACTTGTGAAATCTGTGAATGATCACAGAGAAAACATGGTACAACAGCCTTGTACCATGTGACAAGCTGTGACCAATCACAGCTCTCACAGTATTTCTCAATGGCTGCAAGAATGCAGCCAGAGAGAAAAAGAAATTATTGCTTTTACAGCTTTTATGGGTGTAAAAAAAAAAATCTTCATCACCCCCCCCTACAAGTAGTACAGTGTCACTATGGTGACACTACCGCTAGGGTGACAGTGTGTTAAAAAAAAAATAATAATATAAAATAGAAATTTTAAAAAATTTTGGGTTATAAACTAATTTGGGTTATTCTTTTTTACTAAAAAGATAATTGAATAAATTTGGGCCAAGATTTACGAAGAAACAGTATTTGCAAAATTTTATAAGAAAATACAAAAAATGAAAATCCCAGTGGTGAATAGATACCATAAAAAAAAAGTTTTATCTGTCTCAAAAAATGCTAAAAAATGCATATGGGTACAGTGTTGCATGACCGCGCAATTGTCAATCAACATGTGATAGCACTGAAAGCTGAAAATTGGCCTGGACAGGAAAGGGGTAAAAGTGTCCGGACTTGAAGTGGTTAAAGAAAAGTTACAATAGTTTATAATACACAGTGCACTGAGCAAACAAATTGTCATCCAGTAGTTACATCTACTTTAAAGCTTAACTCTGAGATCAAAACCTCTCGTTTAATAAATCGCTCAACATTGTAGATAGCTTGTACAGGGAGTAAAGCTGTGGCAGGGTCCCAGCAGGCTCTGCCCACTACAGGCTGCCTGCGGAATCTACATCAGGGGAGGACTCGAGACCACTCTGGAGAAGGAGAGAGCAGCAGCAGTGAGCGGTCTCCATTACAGAAAGGAAAATGATCACACTGGATTACTGCACAGATCTGGAAGAAATACACAAAGCACACCAAGGTACAAGGAAGAATACACAGAACTCTTCTATTTTGACAATAGTCACTAAGCCTGGAGCTCAGCTCTAACTCTTCTTCAGCGATGTTCTTATTGTAGGACACAGGCAAGTCCTGCTATTGAATGGGAGGCCTTATTGAGGAATATTGACTGTATGGATAAGTGGAGCAATTAGCAAAGAAAATACAAAAATAAAAAAATGACTTCTCCACCATCACTGCTGGTGTTTTCAGCCCTTCTGTCTTGATACTGTTGGGAAAATCTAAAGGAAAAAAAAACTGATCTTTTAGCGTTCTAAAATATCAATAAGTATTAGGATATGCTGGGACTTGTAGTTCCTCCCCAGCAGGAGAGCCAAAGGCCACACATAACTTTCCAGACAGCATGAAAAGATTGAGAGATACAGAAGCTGGATAATTGGAGAATGCAGGAAGTCCTGAAAGGACAAAAGGGGCTCTCCGGTCATTTGAAAAGCCGGGTTGGCTCATTAGAGGCATCCATAAATGACAGAGGTCCTATAGAATAATTTACACTCGCTTTCTATCCCTTCAGGATATTCCAAGTATTTCATCAGTTGGCGACGGTACAAACATTTTGATTCATCTTTTTAATTACTCGGTACAAGGAAAGCCAAACTTAATTGCTGCTATAAAGAACTTTATGGCAATCTGTGTAACATCTTGGGGCAAAAACAGAGCTGGAATCCAGATGTGGAGGCTGACACCAGGTTACACAACCGGTACCTGCCGCCGGCGCTGTGCACTTTTCTGGAGGTTCTGTTTGAACTGGGCCGCAGATCTGGGTGGAAAATGCTTTGCCCCAAAGACATGTCACAAGTACACACGGTGAGATCAAGGGCTGGTGTTCAGCTATAGGATTTATTGTGCAGTGTTATGAATTAATCGTGCTTGGTGCACTCTTGGTGTAGCTTCCAGCAAGTGTTTCTCACACAGTGGGGAATGGCTATATATCAAAAATGCGTGAAAACTGCAATGCAACAAAGGAACAAAAATGCAAAGGAGCAACATAAACACAGATCTTAAAGCGCAGCTCTTGGCTAATTTTCTTTAAATGCATCCCCTAGGACAGTGGTGGGCAACCTTTTTTTTTTCAACTGAGCCAAATCTCGCCAAAACCACGATTGAAATTTATTTTGAGAGCCACATTTTTAAAACTGAAAATACATCGGATGGTACACTGTTTTTAGTTTCAATAAGTTTTTATAGTAATTCATCCCCCATATAGTAATTCCTCCCCCATAGTAATTCATCCCCTCTATAGTAATTCATCCCCCCTATAGTAATTCATCCCCCATATAGTAATTCATCCCCCATATAGTAATTCATCCCCCCTATAGTAATTCATCCCCCCTATAGTAATTCATCCCCCATATAGTAATTCATCCCCCCCTATAGTAATTCATCCCCCCTATAGTAATTCACCCCCCCTATAGTAATTCATCCCCCATAGTAATTCATCCCCCATATAGTAATTCATCCCCCATAGTAATTCATCCCCCATATAGTAATTCATCCCCCATATAGTAATTCATCCCCCATATAGTAATTCATCCCCCATATAGTAATTCATCCCCCATATAGTAATTCATCCCCCATATAGTAATTCATCCCCCATATTAATTCATCCCTCATATAGTAGTAGTAAGTAAGTAGCAAGTAGTAAGCCAAGTCCCTCCTGTGTCAATTCACTTACCTTTGCTCCGCGCATTCCTCTCGCCGTGTTCCCGCGCCGTTACGGTCTTCAGGGCGGACTGTGAGAGGAGCCTAGCTCCTCTCACGTTCGTCACGCTGCCCCGCCTACACACATCCTGACAGCCAATCACTGGCTATCAGGATGTGAGTGGCAGCGAGACTGGCCAATCATTGCATTTGAGCGCGCTGCCCTGGCTGTTTTTTTTTTTGATCATGCTGCAGAGTCCCTGCCGCCCGAGAGGAGAGAGGGGAGCGGGCGCCCGGCACACAAGAGCCGCATTAAAGCGTGTAAAGAGCCGCATGTGGCTCACGAGCCGCGGCTTGCCGACCACTGCCCTAGGAGAACATTTCTGAAGAAATAAAAAAGCAGTCTAGAGTGCCCCCCGCAGCTCCTCTTTTTTGTCACTAGATGTCCTCAGTCTTCTGGTATGAATGACATGAGCTGAGTGTCAGTCAACCCACATCTGAGGAAAGACAGGGAGTCATGGCCCAACCCTCTGAGCACAGCACCCTGCACTCACAGTGTATTGATGAAGGGAGCGGAGCGGATGTCATCACGTCTGCATCATCCAGGACCGACAAGAGAAAACTAAGGAAGAGAAGGCGAGGATGCAGCATGTCATGTGACTGGCCAGAAGACATCATTAACCACTTCAGCACTGCTCCCGTCTGGCCGTTTATGTACGTGGGCCGAACGGGAGCAGTGCCGAAGCGGGTTGCCGTTTATAAAAGGCACCCGCATTCTCTGCCTGTGCCCGCTCCCTGGGAGCACCGCGATTACAGCGCGGCACCGGAGGACACAGCAGAACACCGATCGCAGTACGGGACCTCTGTGTGAGGTCCCAATTCATGTGATCACTGATTGGCCAATCAGTGATCTCATGAACAGTAGTAAGCAAGATGTCACTTCCTGACATCATTGCTTACTACTTGTGAAATCTGTGAATGATCACAGAGGTCACATGGTACAAGGCTATTCACAACAGCCTTGTACCATGTGACAAGCTGTGACCAATCACAGCTCTCACAGTATTTCTCAATGGCTGCAAGAATGCAGCCAGAGAGGAGAAATGCTTGCTTTTACTGCCTTTATGGGAGTAAAATAAATCAGTGTAAAAAAAGAAAACAAAAATCTTCATCACCCCCCACAAGTAGTACAGTGTCACTATGGTGACACTGTACTGCTAGGGTGACAGTATGTTTAAAAAAGTAAATAAATATATATATATATATATATGTGTGTGTGTATATCTAATTTTTGCTTATAAATTTGGGGGGGGGGGGGGGTTTACTAAAAAGATAGCTGAATAAATTTTGGCCAAGATTTATGAAGAAAGATTATTTATTTGCAAAGTTTTATAAGAAAAACATTTTTTTTTTCAAAAGGTTGGGACTTTTTCATTTATATAGCAAAAAAATAAAAATCCCAGCGGTGAATAAATACCACCAAAATAAAGTTTTATCTGTCTCAAAAAATGCTAAAAAAAATTAATATGGGTGTAGTGTTGCATGACCGCGCGCAATTTTCATTCAAAGTGTGATAGCACTGAAAATTGGCCTGGACAGGAAGGGGGTGAAAGTGTCCGGACTTGAAGTGTTTAAAAGACAAGGAAGTAATAAAAAGCAAAATATACCACTGGTGGGCAACTAAAGGGGCAGAGAAGGGGCAGCTGGGCACAGAACCAAGAATTGGGTTTAAAAGTAGATATAAACCCAAACCAGATGACATTTAGTTTTCTTGGTGCAAAGTGTGTCATAAACAAATAACCAGTTAGCGATCACACTATAGCAGCGTTACTGCTACAGGCTGGATGCTGTGTGTAGAATGATGTATAAATACGTGATTCTGCAATTCCTGCCTGGGTGTCCACGCCTCTGGAGCACTCCTTCTGTAATTAGTCACAGTAGAAGCCAATCAGTGGGTGTCAGCCATTGGATGAACAATGTAAACGAGGCAGAGCTCTGTCCTGTCAACAGCTGTGCTGCATTTTGTTTCCCTGCAAAGGAAATAAAATCCAGCACATCCCTTAGTAAAAACACCACATACTACACATATAAACACTGGCTAGGCACATGGTTAACCCTTTGATCACCCTAGATGTTTAACCCCTTCACAGCCAGTGTCATTAGTACAGCGACAGTGTATATTATTAGCACTGATCACTGTATTAGTGTCACTGGTTCCCACAAAGTGACAGTTAATTTCAGATTGTCCGCCACAATATCGAAGTCCCACTATAAGTCCCTGGTCGACGCCACTTCTAGTATAAAAATAAATAAAAATGCCAGTATATGCACCATAGTTTGTAGATGCTATAATGTTTGCGTAACCCAATCAATATATACTAATTGGGATTTTTTTTTTTTATCAAAGGCATGCAACAGAATACATATTTTCCTACATTTTTGAAGCAATTTTATTTTTATTGGATATGTTTTATAGCAGAAAGTGAAAAACATTGTTTTTTTTTTAAATTGTCAATCTTTTTTTATTTATAGACCAAAAAAAATAAAAAACCCAGTGGTGATCAAATACCACCAAAAGAAGTCTGTGGGAAAACAAGAACATAACATTTAATTTAGGTACAGCATTGCATGACTGCACAATTGTCAGTTAAAGTGTTACTAAACACCAAACAGTGAAATCAGACTGTATATGCAGTAGAGCATGCTTGTTATACTCATTGTAGAACCTAAGGGGCTAATCCTCTACATTGTGTAAGAAGGCTGTTTGATCCTGTCTTCTCTGATCCTCCCCTTCTTCCAGTGTCCCCCTCTTATCTCCTGATAAGACATACTGTATGGAGTCACTCTGTGCATGCTCAGTTTGGTGTGTACTGCTAGAGATATTTTTTTTTTTCTTTTTCTTCTCGGGACATGCATGTGATCAGCACAGGGCCAATCAGCACTGTCCAGACAGAGGTCAGGGGTCCTGCATCCTTCTATAGCAAAATGAAAACTCTTCCTACAAGCTTTAACCAGTGTTCAACACTGATAGAAGTCACAAAACTGCTATACACTGCTGATGAGAAAAGGTATTTAACAATTTATATTTACTAAAATAATTTAATTTTCATGTTCTGTGTACTGTGGGAGAGCGGATATAGTGAATGCGGGGTCCGGGGAGAGCGGATATAGTGAATGCGGGGTCCGGGGAGAGCGGATATAGTGAATGCGGGGTCCGGGGAGAGCGGATATAGTGAATGCGGGGTCCGGGGAGAGCGGATATAGTGAATGCGGGGTCCGGGCAGAGTGGATATAGTGAATGCCGAGTCCGGGGAGATCGGATATAGTGAATGCGGGGTCCGGGGATAGTGAATGCCGGGTCCGGGGAGAACGGATATAGTGAATGCCGGGTCCGGGGAGAGCGGATATAGTGAATGCCGGGTCCGGAGAGAGCGGATATAGTGAATACCGGGTCCGGAGAGAGCGGATATAGTGGGTGCAGGGTCCGGGGAGAGCGGATATAGTGGGTGCAGGGTCCGGGGAGAGCGGATATAGTGGATGCAGGGTCCGGGGAGAGCGGATATAGTGGATGCAGGGTCCGGGGAGAGCGGATATAGTGGATGCAGGGTCCGGGGAGAGCGGATATAGTGAATGCAGGGTCCGGGGGAGAGCGGATATAGTGAATGCAGGGTCCGGGGAGAGCGGATATAGTGAATGCAGGGTCCGGGGAGAGCGGATATGGTGGATGCAGGGTCCGGGGAGAGCGGATATGGTGGATGCAGGGTCCGGGGAGAGCGGATATGGTGGACGCAGGGTCCGGGGAGAGCGGATATGGTGGACGCAGGGTCCGGGGAGAGCGGATATGGTGGACGCAGGGTCCGGGGAGAGCGGATATGGTGGACGCAGGGTCCGGGGAGAGCGGATATGGTGGACGCAGGGTCCGGGGAGAGCGGATATGGTGGATGCAGGGTCCGGGGAGAGCGGATATAATGAATGCAGGGTCCGGAGTTTAGTAACACTTTATGATGGCTGCCAACCAACCTCTCAAGATGATATCCAATGGGTATAGAAGGACCAAGCTCAAGCAGTGCCAAATAGCAAAAAATGGGGTGGCCTATAAAGGGGGGTAAATCTTCCATACATCAAGTGGTGAAATAAAATCCTCTGGTACAGCTTAGTGCTGCTGGCCTCTGGCAGCCTCTTTGCAGACACCTTCTTTCTACATGCACTCCAGCACTGGCTGCATGGCATTTTTCCAGGAGGTTTTCCCGATTGTGACAAAAGTGGACCATGCCCATAATGGATGTTATTTACTAAAACTACATGCTGCAAAATCTGCTGCAGCTGTGCATAGAAGCCAATCAGCTTCCAGGTTTTATTGCCAAAGCTTAAATGAACAAGCTGATGTTAGAAGCTGATTGGCTCCCAAGCACATCTGCACTAGATTCTGAGTTCTCCAGTTTCAGTAAATCTCCCCCAGTGTGTTTCCATGTGAAGCTGCTGTGACAAGGTGACAGGGACAGAGCATTTGTTGGATGAAGGTCGGTGGTCGGATGTGGCTTTACAGTTGCCTCTGCTGCAATTCTTTGCTTCGCAGCCACAGCAAAAATGATACCAGTTGCCAATTCAAATGAATAGGGCCGTGTCACAATTGCCTTGCTATGCTGGTGGGGCTTTTCAGGCCTCCCAGATTCCTGTCAACAACCCTGTGAAAGGGGTTCCACCACTTATGGGAGGGGTGGCAAGGGCTGCCACAAGTGTGCACAAGCACTTACTGTGCTAAGAGGTGACACCTTCTCCTCCCATTCCGCTTGGGGGTTCCTGGCGACCACAACTAATGACATCGGGATGGCTAGCAGGAACAGCTCAGGGATTTCCAATGGCTACATAAAGAGAACCTGTCATCTGCCCAATTTTTTTCACTTCTTTTGATAGCAAAAAAGTTAAAGAAAAAAAAAAAAAGGAAGAAGAGAGAAGACCTGCATTTAAAGCAGTTTTAAATCTAAATTTTTCTTTTGTAAAATGAAAAACATTGTACTTACCTGCTTTATGCAATGGCTTTGCATAGAGCGGCCCAAACCCCCTGCTCTGGGGTCCCCTGCTGAAGTTTTCCACTCCTCCTCTTCTCCGAGTGCCCCCATAGCAAGCTGCTTGCTTTGGGGACACTTGATCCCAATCCAGGCTGTGTGCGTCTATAGACACACACAGCCCAGCTCCCATTCGCTCCTCATGGGATTTGATGGACAGCAGCAGGAGCCAATGGCGCCTGCTGCTATCAGCAAAGCCTTGGAGACCAGGAAGAGGGGAGAAGTGCTGCTGCAGACAGGTCAGTGTTGGATTGAGAATGGACTCAGGTAAGTATTTGGGGAAGGAGGGGTGCTGGGGGAGCTGCTATCGAAAGGTTTTTATTTTAACCTTAACCCCTTCACGGGTAAAACAAATCTTGAAGCCTAATCACAATTTTGCAACTTTGACATGTATTAGAAAACCATTCATATCATCACAACTAATTTGTACATCCAGGTGTATTATACCGCGTTTTTTTCAGGACAAATTTGGCTTGCATTTGGTAGTGAATGGTAACAGATGTCTCTTGAGGTTTTTGTTTTTATTAGTCACAAGTAAACTGTCCCAAAAAAGTAAAAAAAAAAAAAAAAACATTTTTTTTTTAATTTAGCTGTATATTTCTTGTAACGCCCATAACCTACCACCAAAGAACAACCCAAAATAAACTCTCCTGCTCCTGAGGATCGCAGCAATACCACATGTGTATGTTAGTTGTTGTGTGTACAGTACAATCCAGAAACAATAGTGCGCATTTTGATTATTTTTTCTGTCTTACCAAAAGCACACCGACACAAAAAAAAAAAACCCAGCCCAAAATATACTGACTCTGACCTTTGACCCTTACGTGACCCAAAAGCTAACCCTGGCACTGACCTAGATCAGACTTTGATCAAGGTATTTTTTTCTTAATTCTTTTATTTTTTAATATTTATCTTTACACGTTTTTTTTTCCT